TGTTTTTCTTTTCCTGTGGCCGATCACGCGGAAAATAACTATTCTCATGTGATATGAGGTTTCAAGACGAGCGTAAGATCTTTGTTTGGTTCGATTTAGTATTGTAGGTAGAAATTAAGAAAAAGTAGCTATTGTGTATCGTGAACACATTGCTTTTTGTGTAAAACGACGTTATGCGTTCAAGGATGGCTATCAACTCCCTTTACCTGAGCTCCCACCACCCTATACCGTAAATGTATCCAGACGAGGTTCTGGCAGAGTCATTTCTCCTTATTCTATTTCTCTGAGCTTCTGAATAGAAGTGTCGAACTGCTTCTCGGCTTAGGAGATTATAGGGAGAGGTAGGCGTTCAACTTCTGCTGCGTTCGACATTCATGAGCACTCCCTAAGCACGACGAGGCAGTAAAGCTTTAACAGAGGAAATTTTCCACTCCTAGAAACTTCGTGATAAGCAACGATATAAACCTTTCTGCTCTATATATTCATTTAGAGAATTGAACTTTAGAGAAAATTATGAAATTTAGTCACATACGTGGTTTTCGTATTCATATCCATTTGTAGGGCCTATGAAGCGCAGAGGCGCGTGTGGCGCAGTGGTTGGAGGCGCCTTTGGGATCGATCCCTACGCCCATTGCCCACCAAGCCCTCCATCCCTCCAGGGTTGGCAAATTGGTACCAGACTTGTCTGGAAGGATAGCAACACTGGCTCGAAACATCGATAGGCCACCGCGAGTCATTACAAAGGCCAGATATGCATTCAATCATCTCCAACGATACTTAATGGGGTCAAATGCATGGCGCATCCCTCAGGGATTGGTCAACGTCGAGAGCTTTTTATAATTTTTGTTCATTTGTACTATAATCTTACTTAAGGAGTTTCGATTTTGGTAGCAACTAACATCGCTGAAGAAGGGTCGCACTAGGAAAGGTGATTATTAGTATTTTTTACTTGCTTCACAGAGTGAATTAACCGAACTTCATGATCAGCATAGTAAATTAAAACACTTTTGAAGAACTTGTGTAGCTGAACCTTAACGTAGCCGGACTAGGGAACACGCTTCGTTTGGAACATCGTCTTCTACGCAATTAGGGAGTCTCAACACATCGAGGATCAGTGAAGTTGTCGAAAAAAGTTATTCTTGAAGGAAAAACTCAGGATGTCCATCAAATGGTTTCCGTATATTGCTGTTTAGTACACTTAAGCTGCATACGACGCTTAAGTTCTATGAAAGAAAGTGGAAAATAAGTGAAGAAAAACCACTGTGAGTATTCTTAGCCGTGAAGGTTTACCTGAAATGCCAAACGTGGCAGTAAAAGCGATGAATTGCCGTTACTAAAGTAATTGGGCAGAGTAGTAGTTGAAAGCTCTGCATATTTCGATCCATCGCGTGAGCCTATTCGCGATAACGTAACATTGTTGTACGCTGCCATTGGGAGTCTGCTACCAAATTCCTGGGACCAAAGGGATAAATGCCTAAGTGTTCCCGGTGCGCGAGATCGAACCTAGGACCATGTATGTATAGCAGGGCACCTCTCACCATTGCACTGCAATGCAACAAGGAAAGCGCTCATTCTCAGCCCTTGAGCAGTTGACTTTTCTTGATAATAAACAATACGTTTGCGATAACTAGAAGACTTGAGAGGTTGAGAACATGACAGACTTTTAAAAGCGACTGGGTTATCACTCTACAGGTATGAATGGTAAGTAGCTATTGCTTTCTATATGTTATGGTCCGTCATTTGAACGCATTGCTGTTAGCATTTGGAAATATTTCGCAATTTATTTTTGTTATAACCAAATATAACCAAATTTTTTGTTATAACCAAATGTCTAATATAACCACCATGATTTATTAGAACGGTTGGATTTGAAAAACGTCAGCCAAATTATCAACAGCTAAACTCGTTCGAGACAAAGGTTTTGTATGCTTCGTAGCGCAAAAAGGAGCTTAATGGCTTAAGGGCCCGTAATACTTCTGTTGGATTTGTTACAGATTAATATCAAAGCCTACATAGAATGAATCTTTTGAGCCGAACCTAAATGAACTGTCAGAAAGAAAATGAGTGTTATATAGCTCGCACCGGCTATTCGGAGAACCGCGTACAGTGCCCATGCCATCGCGAGTGGGATAGAGACATAAACAATGTTTTCTGAAGGTATTTCTTCAGTTTTAAATTTTCTTTATGTCAAAAAGCCCAGAGGAATTGAAAACGAGTATCTAATTTCCCATACCAGCGTGGCGGCTGTAAAAATTCATCGGGGAACACCACTGCATTAGACGAAATGTGTCTCGTTTACTTGTTTCCGCATTAAAAAGAAAAAGCCTCATCGAAAAAAAGACAAAATTCGTTTTTTGTCTTTTAGAGAATTAATATTAGGTTGAAGAAGAAGAGTGATACCTTCTAGGTAAAGGCATGTAGATCCTAATTGTTGCCGCGAACTGGGGATGCATTTGAAGACATTTTAAAACCTTTTGGCGGAAACTACAACAAGAATCAAACAATTTTCGCCCACGTTTCATCCAGTTCTATTCTCGGATCCTCCTGTGAGAAGAAGCTGAACGCTGACTCCGATCATCTTTGAACTTTGTGAAGCCTACACGGTGGGTGTGTCGAGTGCCGAAATGGAAACGCGGGCAGGAGCGGCACTATTCTTTCTTTGCCATCCACGACCACAATGCAGTTACGACAATCGTATGTCGTAGTCACGGTAAGACATTGATTTCCTTATGATTTCGTTCTTATGATTTTTGTCGGCTTTCTCGCAAATCCTCCTACACGTTTACTTACTCGCCTATAACTGCACTTTGAATTCCGGAAATCACTCCTACCCTGCTGCACTCATTGCAGCTGGTTGTAAACCAACTGTTTTAACTGCTTTTACGCAACAATGGCTTATTTCGCATTTATAGGTAGCATGCATAGACAACAAAATCCAGTTCTTGAAAAAAAATCTGCTCTCGCCTTCAACAGCTTACTTTCCGGCAATTCAGGATAAGAGTAAGGCGCAGGAAGCTTCCCTCAGGGGTTCATCTTAAAACTCGCGCGATCTTGGAGTAGGAACGAGGTTACATCGAAATTTAAACGAACTTGAACAAGATCGGCATAGTTCATTTTGGAAATGTGACCATTTAAGGCAGTCATCCATGCAAAACATAGTTATCGATCAGCGGTTATATGTTATGCTTACTAGTTGATATATACATATATATATATATGTATATATATACATATATATATAGTGAATGCGTCCACTATGAATACTTTTTACTAACGCTCTTCATCTCCTATCGTGTAGGAAAATATCCACTCTGAGGTTTGTTAAAGATGAACGCGAGCTATTTTTCTGATGAACTGAGTCCGTTTGGAAGACAGTCGACGATACCCTGCTACTACATCGAGAGATTTTGCCTCAAATACATCAAATAAGGAATAGGCACTTAAAAATAACGAAGAGAAATATAAGTTTTTTTTCTATTTACTAGTAGTACGAAGAAAAAAGAATTAAACTGCGCCTAAAACATTGGTGTCGGTGTTGTTGACAGCATGATGTGACCGTCATGCGATTGTTTACTACGGGTGTTGACAACGACGTGCCAAAATTTTCTATACTGATGTGAGAAGTTATTTTTCTTCGTAGAGAATTTTAATGCTCAATTCTCAGCGAATGTGACTCTGATTTCGATGACCGTCAGATTCTAAAGATTTTCATTCAGGTTTTTGTCGTGACTACAGTGGCACTGGAGCTCCCCTCAGAACCAATATTTCCAGTAGCATGTGAACTGAATGTACTTATCGTGCTTGATCGGTGAGAGCATGCAAACTATTTTATGGACCAACTACCGTTTTAGTTGAAAACTCTCGATTTTCAAGGTCAGATTCGGTGAAAGGAGGATTCAATAAAAGTCGAAAGTTCGTCAACGATGTCTCACAGGAAATGGAGATCGGACCTCATAAACATCGGGTATGTTAGCAGAATCGACAAACAAAAACGAAGGTTTTAAAGTTGCGAGCTTACGGTTATTATATACACATCAGTGGCTTGCCTACTCATCGTGGCTGGGAGTTCAACTGCGGTGTACAACTGGAGTTTAACCCTACGAGAAAGGCTTTCAAAACTGGCCATCATTCAACCATAGCATGCATAATCAATATCTTTCCATTCAAATAACTTAATAGTTAGTATAGATCAGCACGGTTTCTCAAGTTGTGAAGAAGGTCGACGCCTACAATGGGAAGTTTATCCGGAAGCAAACCGGTGCTAGGAGTCATTGTTATCCGACAACATAGTCATTACCTAGGATATGTGGCAACTTAGCAAAGCTTTTCTGTCATCTTTGAACTCCACGAAAAGAAAATCTTGTACAATCAGTAGATTGTTTTGTTGTGGACATAGGCATTCAAGTATTCAAGTGAAAACTCTGTGCAGTGTGCAGAAATGCTTTAATGCTTGAATAGTTCGCCATCACGAAGAACCGTGTGATGATTAAACACAGTTTTCATCACTTCGGTGTGGTCGGTTTTGCGAAAAGATTTCTTTGTAGTCGTAGAAGAGCCGTACCTATGAGCTTCTAACTTTTCACCAAACTGCTTTCCAGCCTTTCTGGTTCAGTAGGGCTTCCTGCACTCTGCGGTTAGATTTCTTCTAAGACGGCAGTGCTTCTTGATGTTCACTTGATAGCCAACGCTCCTACTTAACCATCCGTTCAGACGGAAACATCTAACTCTTTCTTCCTCTTTGATATGCCTGCCGAGTGGAAAGCTTTCGCTACACGTCGCAGCTCAATACCCACAAGCATCCTACTATCCTCGATAAGCGAAAGTGCACCCGGTTAGGGGCCTGTTGCGATAAGGTTAAAGGCGGATATTTCCGCATTTCTTCAAAGAAAGCAGAGCAAATCTTAAAAAGTTGTCGGTGGTAACAAATGTTCTCACCACCACTTCACTGCCGTACCATTTTTTTTTTTGAGAAAAGAAAACAATCTTTCTTTCAGGTTGCTATGATAGTATACTCCGGACTAAGTTATCGTAGAGAGGTTTTTCCTTGGAATTTTGCGAAAAATAACGAGGAGTTCGTTCGAATCACGAACAGCTTGCGAGCCATTGGTGGTACGACAAACACGAAAAAAGTCGGGTGAGCGTTGAACATCTCCAGAACCACTGTAATTATGTGTTTTCCAGGCTCTTGAGGTTGCCATTGATCTGATGGCGCAGAGAAACAAGACCATACCAACACTTGTTATGGTTGTCACCGATGGACGGTACAATGAACTTTATTTATTGTTGTTTGTTCCAGGCCATTAATTAGACCTGTCATTTCGTCATTTTCTCTTATATGCAAACTAAATTCCAGATCAGCAGATGATCCAAAGGTTCCTGCACAACGTCTTCAGAAGGAGCCACAGACATGGATGTTCGCCGCTGCTACTGGTGATCCAGAAAGTGTTGACAAGTGTGACCGCTTTTTCTATTACTTTTCAATCTTTTTAATCACGCAGCTCGAAATATGTGGACATATTTTATCTTGTTTATTATTTATACAGGTTACCCTTTAGTCCTATTTGTCTTAAATCAACTCGAGCAGGCATAATTAAGGCCTCCGTTCATCCCATACCGATTTGCTTGGCTCTACTACTTCATTCTAAGTCTTCCATTCCAAGATAAATCTCCTTTATTTTTATTGTTTCTAGGAAGAAGGCGTCTGCAAAACTTGTCGCTCCTAGCCATTGCATAAGTCTTCCTTTACTTTCACATGAAGATGTCGATTTTGTTCCAAACACAGACGTTGACCCTTTGAAGATGAACACCGCTGCAGATTGTGGTTTGATGTTGATGAGCAGCCTCTCTCAACAACAATGCTAAAAATTTATTAGAAGATTGATTTAGACTGCAACAAGTTCGTTAAGATTCCAAAATCTTCCATTTTTTCAAATATAGCGAAGGCTCACCAAGCCTTCCATCCATCCAGGATAGCCAAAATGCCACTAAACTTCACTGGGAGGTAGTAGCACTCACCTAATACATCGCTTGGCCTCTGCAAGTACTTGTAAAGGCCAGATTTTCCTTTAGTTACCTCTATGACGCTCGATGAAGTCGAATGCATGGGGCATCACGAAGGAAGAGAGCAACTTTAGAAGCTTTACCGTCATGCTCATCGAGTGTTCAATATCCATTCCGCTGAGTTGAAGAAAGTTATGCATTGTGTATGGAGCGAATGGAATCGACACCTTGTGTCGTAAGTACTTTGGACTTCTTCATGAAGGAAATTTTGACCTTCGAGATTCATTATGTTTTGGTAGGCCGTTCATGGCAGGCTACAAAGCATTCATTTCATCCTTGGTTCCATTGAAAGCGGTAGGTACAGTCGTTTCAAGTTAGCGCATAAGTACTTGGCACTAACTAGTCAACCGTTCCGTGGCGTTACGACAGCTCTGAGCGGTCGGCAAGGTCATTATACTTATGCCCTATGACCACAGAGGTAGACTACGTCTATAATTGGTGTTTCGGCACAAACTTCTACGACTTGACTGACATGTTTCGCTTCCATCCACTTTGCTCTCTAGGCCTTATCACATCTAATTATTCAGGCTTTGTATAACACTTTAAATCAAGTGACTTTCAATTCTTTGGGAGTGTATAGAATGCATGAATGCATGCCGTCCTCCTTTTTATTCAGAAATCTCATAACTTTTACGGTTATTGGATTTCCAGTAACTGATGAATGCATTATGATTCAAGAGAAACTTTAAGACTTCCCATTGTGAAATATAACTCGTATGAAGTGCTGAGATATTTGCAAAACTCCGGACCACAGGTGTATGCAGTGGGGAACGAACACGCTCTGTTGTCCTTACCGGGGAGCAGCACACTTCACCACTACGCCATCCGGGTCCTTCGCTTTGCATGTATCTCAGCTAGTTCTATCGTTCTATCGAACACTTCCCATTGTGTTTAAAATTTTACGAGGTCGTCCTTTATTGTCCATAATCAAGTTAGTGCAAAGTCGTACAAAAAGCCAACGTTTTTGTGCTTGCTTTTTTTCTTATCCTAATAATTCATAACTAGAAGTTTTATGTGCAACAACCGTAATAATGCTGAGATCTTGGCAAAACTCCGGACCGCAGGTGTTTGAGGTGAGAACGAACGCGCTATTACCCTTCCGGGGGATAAAGCGCTCACCACCACACCATACGGATTCTTCGTTTCGTCTGTCTCTCAGTTAATTGTTAGTCAAAATATCGGACAATGAAATTATCTGGAAGAAAAAAGTTTTTTGTGAACCATTAAGTGTCAAGAATGGCTATTTTGATCCAACCCATTTTCTTAGCCACCACGTTTTCCGTTATCAGTTAAATGGCGTTTGTTTTTATTTCACGATGACATGCGATCTTACGTCGTCGAATAGGTGCATTCGTGGAAAAGACGACTATCTATACTATGGTACTGGAATCCATTTCATCGTTCCTCTTTGATCTGAAGAACTTTTTCCTTTAAAGGATTACCTATTCAAGATTTCCGTTGAACAAGTTCTAATAACCGACTTTTCATAGAGAATTTGATTGAATTTCGAAGAAAAAGAAGAAGAAGAAGCTGGAAACCAATTTGAAAACAGTGTTTTAAGATGTGTTTATAATGTTTAGTTTACACGACGTTGATAAAGTTGTTTGTGCGACTAACGCTTCGACGGTTGGATTACCCGTTGAAAAGCCGTTCGCCATCGCACCATGTGTGTCCTTCGTTTCGCCTGTCTCTCAGCTAATTCTATCGATCACTACCATCAGCAATCACCCGTCGGCAAGATTGATCTGGGAAGTCCACATAGGGATTGAGCCCAGTTAACAGGCGGAACGAAGGGCCCGCATGATGTGGTGATGAACGCGTTAGCCCCGGAAAGGTTAATGGCGCGTTAGCTCCCCACTGCAGACACCTGTGGTCCGGAATTTTGCAAATATCTCAGCAACATGTTATACCTTTTTATTTTCTGCCTACTATAATTTCGCGGCAAGGTACTAAGCGAAATAAGCATCATTGTGGTTATTTCACACACAATACTATGCCGTGAAAATTTGTAATAAGCAGTAAATAAGAAGCTAGCATAGAAGCTCTATTTTGTTTTTTCTGCTCGTATTATTTGGCCTAAGCCAAGTGTTCTTCTGCAATTATCGTCATTTTCAGACAGGAGCTTTTGGACATCGCCGGAACCCCCAGCCATGTTGTCCTTCACCGCGGCCGTGAGTACGCGGCCGACGTGACACGCGCGCTTTTCCGACAAGCACAGGTCGGTTGTTCGTCGCCTGATTGCTGTCATTCTTAGTCAACTCTACGTTAATATCACGTGCTTTTTTGGATGCTTGTGTTTTTTCGATGTTTACTCAGAATTCACACAGCGTCCAATTTGTCGTTGTAACAGTGGGAATGTGAAGGGGATCAACTCTCAAACATCAAACTGGCATGTAACGATGAAAAACTGACTTCTGTCCATTGCTTCAAACCCACAAATTAGTCTCTTTTTGAGATTTTTTTTAGATTAGTGAACCAATCGTGGTGGATGACATTAGGTGTGAGTAAGATTTCGGAGCGAGGCGTGTGGCGCAGTGGTCGGGGTGCCCTGCGACACCCACGTGGGATCGGTCTCTGCGTACACACACCAAGCCTTCCATCCCTCCAGGGTTAGCAAATTGGTACCAGACCTCTTTGGGATGATACCAGCACTGGCTGGATACATCGGTAGGCCACCGCTAGTCATTGTAAAGGCCAGATGCTCACCCAGTCACCTCCAACGAAGCTCAATGAAGTCGGAATGCATGGCGCATCCCTCAGGGATTGATCAACGCCGAGAGCTTTTTTGGGAATTTGAGATTCCGGAAACTGCATTTTTTAGGATTTTTGCTCATTTGCGTGCCTATTCTGATTAAGAAAATCCATCAGGGATAGGAAATGTACAATTTTTGGTGTAGTAACCAGTCTTGCTTTCTAGTAGGCGTATATAGCTGAGTAGGACGGGGTGTTGGAAGTAAGCAGGAATCATTGCTCGGAGAAGAATCTACAGAGAAGAACGCCAAGAAAAGCACGTCAGGAAAATTTCGTTTTAACTTTAAGCACATTGATCTTACCATGAGATTTGCTTTAAAAAGTAAAGTGTGAAGCTTTTCTTGTCTCAGGAGAAATGCCGAACAACCACCACCACTACCACCACGACAACCACAACGACAACCACAACGACAACTACTACGAACCCAATCACTGGTGAGTGGAACTCACTTGAACCTTCCCAAAGTTTTCTCTGAGTGATTGTAAATTTTAAGGATGCGAATTGGACCTAGTGCTCGTGCTGGATTTCTCTACGACAACGGATCCACTAGTGGAGTATTATAAGGAGATGTCTCAAAGATTAATCAGGGCTCTTCGAATAGGACCACATTATACTCAGGTAAATATGAATTCAGCTTCATTGCATGAATTTTATAATTTAACTAATCACTGAAGTAAACTGGATGTTGACGGAAGATATTAAAAACCGAGCTTTTTTTGTAGAAATTTCTGAGTATTTCAAGAACTATCTTCTTCTTCTTTACTGGAAGTTTAACTGGACTTATAAATCTACAACAGTTTAGCCAATGGAAACGGACCTCGTGAATTAGTATTGTGCTTACATATTTCGATATTTCGATGGCCCATTCTCACTAGTTGTGAGGGCCCCAGCATAATCTCCAGTTTTTCGGCGTTTTGCTGGTTTAGCCACTGTGGTTCCCTGGAGTCCCAAGGTCAGCCTGACCAAAGTTTGCCCCAAATTGTCACCATCACCATAGGCAGTCGTCGCCCTTGTGGATCACAAGGAGACTTGCCACCATGCGACTAGTTTGGATTAATGACAGACTAGGACATGATCACTCCCTCTAGTCCATCTCGAAACGCCGTAGTACAATTGATTCGGAATTCCATAGAGCATCGACTTAACCAGCACTCAGCGACATTTGTGACAAAGATGCGGAAATCTTATGAAACTGCCCAAGCTATGCACAAAAAGAGTTCTAACATTCTCGCGGATGCAGGGAAGCAACTTGATTTGGAAAAGTGCTGCGATTTGCACAGTGTGATAGGTGTGGTGTCGGACGTAATCAGTGAATAAATGAAACCTGGAATTAGCCGAAATACTTAGAGGAATGTTGTGGGAAGTCGAATTTTGTTGCGCACCTGTAACACATCGTTCTTTTCACAGCGATTGTCACGACGAAATTATAAAAGTCGAAAACATAAAAATTGCTATATATAGACAGGCGGAAACGAAGGACCTGCATAGTGTGTTGGTGAACGCGCTAGCCTAGCCTCCGGAAAGGGTAATAACGAGTTCGTTCCCCACCGCAGACACCTGCGGTCCGGAGTTTTGCAAATATCTCAGCATCATTGAAGTCATAAACATTGCTTTGAATTGCAATGAATTGGCACCCAGTTGGTTTCCTTTAGCACAACGGGAATCACCATATTCTTGTTCATTTTTTTCTCCTGTGTACTTTCTTTAACTAAATTTAGGGTAGAAATTGAGACATCAGTGAAAAGCTGAAAGTTTATTGTTTTCAAAAAATTAAATCATCATCATAATTATTATTCATATGGTCATTTCGGACCCTTAGTTTTCCAGCTGTACTAGTTTTTCTAGGATTTTAGCTGATTTCCTTCTAGGTAGCGGTCGTGACGTTCGCAACTGTCGGTAGGACACGGACGAAGTTCAGTTTGAAAAAGTACAAAACTCAAGAAGAAGTACTGAAGGCAATCGGAGAGCTGCGCAGCACTGGAGGCACAACGGCGATTGGTCAGTTTCATTGTTGATATTGGAAGAATGTCGTCATTGGTAGAAGCGGGTGTTCTCTCAATTTGCTTTATGGTCTTCTTATGGTTAGTTTGTCCATGTATTGAAGTCAAGGTGGCACTTGTTCTGTAAATTCTATCTCTTCAAATAGCATGGGTTGGGACATTAGCTACATGCCTGCCCTGGTACCCGAGGAAAGCTTTGAAAGTCCAGCACCACGTACTCTTTAATTTCTGTCATGTGCTACTCTTTTTGTGGTTTTTTGCAGTTAACTCTTATTTTTGTGGTTTCTTTGCTGTCAAAAGTAATCATTATCAAAGCGCAACTATGATTTCTTCTTTGTTCGAAACGAATGAAAACAGAGAAGAAAATCAAGGTTTCTCCTGAGAAAAGCATAACATCAGGAAAATGATATGATTGGTCGATGCTATCACCAATTCATAAGCAAGTAAGGACAGTGTCGTCCGTAAAACCTGTTGCTGTCATAGCTGCCCGCCACGTACAACTACAAGGGCAAAACCCGCTGTAACCTCTTGGGGAATAGAACGACCACAATTAGCGCTAAGGAAAAAGCAGAATTCCTTGGAAAGGAAGAAAAGCAAGTAATCTTGAATTTGGTTGTTCCTCAAGTCGAAGTCTATGCTAACAGAAGTTTAGATTAATAAATATTTGGGAAAAACTGAATTAAGAACACTTTAGGCAGCCCAGTTAAAGAATTTCTGATAAAGTAGTTGAGGAACAACTGAAATTTGAGGTAAAAATTGTGGCTGATATGGACTTCTCTCGCAGTTAGTGGTACGCAAGGGGTACGCAAAAGAGCGTGTGTGGTGCAGTGGTTGGAGGCGCGGCGCCACGCAACACACGTGGAATCGATCTTCGCGCCCATGGCCCGCTAAGCCCTCAATCCCTCCGGGGTTGGCAAATTGGTGCCAGACTTATCTGGGAGGATAGCAGCACTGGGTCGATGAATCAGTAGGTCACTGCGAGTCATTGTAAAGGCCAGTCAGATATGCATCCAATCACCCCCAGACGGTGCTTAATGAAGTCGAATGCATGGTGCGGCCAGGGATTGATCAACGACAAGAGCTTTATCTTTTATTTTATCTTTGTGGTACGCATAATTGATATTAACATTGACCCATTTGTTTGCTATAGTACAGAAGAAATGAAGAATTCATCCGTTAAACTTTATGCTGGCAGAAGAGGAAAGTAACATTCTTTCTTTTCTTAAGCTTTTTTTTGCTGGAAGCTAAAGAAAAAATGGATCGGCAAAAGCAAAAGTCTTAAACTCCGATCCGTGTGATCGAGCATGTTTACGTTTTCCATGTTAAGATTCGTTTCTGTTACAATCGCCTTAACAAATAGCTGCCCACCACACATTCACAGGAATCTCGTCAACCCACATTCCGCGCTACCAGTGTTGTTTCTTTGTACTCTTACGAAGCGCATAGAACTGCATTCCAATTTTTACTATGTTTGAAAAGTACTTGGGACTAAGAAAAAGATAACCGGGAAGTACTGAACTGAGTTTTCAGGTTTCAGCTCAACGGGGTTTAGTGCCGATTTGTGCCCTCCAGATCAATCCTGTTGACCGGTGATTGTTGAAGACACCGATAAAGTTAAAAAATGCCTCCAAGAAAGGCAAAATAAGGACCTCGATTGGTGTGGTGGATAGCACGCAGGCCGTCGGAAAGGGTAGCCGAGATATCGGAACCCACCTGAAGCTTTAAATGTAGCTCATATCTCAGCATCACTGTGGTTATACTTCGCATAATACTCTGCCATGGAATAAAAAAGAATAAGCCATCAATAGAAGTTAGAACATTGAATTGTCTAGCCCTCAGTACTGCAGGCTAGGATATCCTGGCTGGAGAGTAGCTATGATTTCTTAACCAGTTTTTGTCCGACTAAGCTATGTCCGAGCTATTGTGCGTTATAATAGTTCTCGTTTTTCTTTCTTCATTTGTTTTCCTATAAACCACGGGTGACATGTTTTTTATAATTTCAGGTGAGGGTATTCGAATAGGCACCAAACAAGTGGAAGAGAGAGAAGGAGCTAGACCCGGCGTTGCCACTAAGGTGTTCGCTATTTCATCTCCTAAATTTTTTGATTAGAAGAAAAAGTGACAGTGGTTCTGTTTTGTTTTTAGGTGATGATTGTATTCACTGATGGCTGGATTAATAGAGGACCAAATCCACAAGCGATGGCCAGGGAAGCAATCGCAGTAGGATTCGAACTTTACACCGTGTCGTTCGTGGTTGGTTGATGATATTAAAGAGTGATACGTCTTCTCAAATGTGGAATATCGTTGGTACCTTATTTATAATGTAATATGAAATTCTTTTTGTTCAGCTCCCAGTTCCATGGCTATTAAATAACATTGCTATGTTCCTCTCTTGATAGTATTATGTACTAGTCAAGAAGCTGCTGTGATCAGTAGAGAGTTCTGTTGTTTACTGCAGTAAAAAAAGGATAAAGCCCTTGGCGTTGATCAATATCTGAGAGATGCGCCACGCACTCGACTTTATTAAGCAGCGTTGGAGGTGATTGAATGCAAATCTGGCTTTTACAATGACTCGTGGTGGCCTAACGATGTATCGAGCCAGTACTGCTATCCTCCCAGATAAGTCTGGTGCCAATTTGCCGACCGCAGGGGGATGGAAGGCTTGGTAGACCATTGGAGCGCGGATCGATTCCACGTGTGCGTTGCAGGGCGCTTCCGACTACTGCTCCACATGCGCTGCCCTTTTACTGTAGTAACATAGGAATACATCGCATAATCGATCCCACAATAGTAATTTCGCTAATGATTTATAATTTTCAGTCCTAAAAACAGAGAAGAAATCCGGGCTGATTGATGGCAATGTTATAGGGTGTCGTAGATAAAGCGGTGAGGACGAACGACGAAATCCTAAAAGAGGTGGCACAGGACCCTCAGCACAGATTCAACGAAAAGAACTTTGACGAACTAATACAAAGAGTTCGACAACGAAATTTGAAGTGTTTATGAAAGTGAAAAGTGGAATCACTCCACTTTAAACTGTATATGGACTCGGTCTGCCAACAATGAGACTTGGAGGGCGTCGTCTGGTTGCTACATGTCTGTCTTCGTTTTCTTTTTTTCAAGTAGGGCACTGAAAGGAAATCACTTGAATTGAATAGATGCTCATTGTAAAGCTGTGTTGTTTATGTGCTTTCAATAGAAAACTAAATAAATAAGTAATTTTGTTGATTTTCTGTATTTTTTCTTATACAGTAATAAGGCATATCACGCAACAAAGGCTGATCGAGGTTCTTGTTGATAGCTCAAATTGTTTGACACTAAACGAAGGGACCTAACGCACCTATCACATTGTTCTTCGAAGAAGCGCTATAGGATAAACCAATTAAACAGCACTAGGATACTTTTTAAAAGCCTATTTCACTCTATACGACCCGGTAATATAAATTGCGCGAATCTCAGCACTTCCTGTATTCAATCGACGCCTCGCAAGAGTGTCCGCGAAGGTCTTTGAATTTCTCATTAAGGTTTAAATGTTGCATTGAAACTTTTCTTTGTTTTTGAATGCCAGTCCGGTTCTCCCGCAGATCCATGAACGAGCATACTACGGCGTTTCCAGATCCTCGTCAGAGGCAGTCGGTAGCTTTTGGCGATTTAGGGTGAGCAAGTGATTCAAGGATGAGTCTAATATCTATTTTCCGATCATGGAGGGAATGGGGCTTAGTTGACCTAGAGTAGGTGGAACCATGATGTTGAGCGTGTTGAAGCGCATTGCTACCGCTCTAGAGTACTTACTCAAGTCCAGTTACAAGAGAAGAATTCGTTGAAACGAATTGATTTGTAAGCAAGAAATTCTAGCATCTGTCACAAATGTCCCCATAATTGTTGAAATGAAACAAAAATTGTTCTCTAAAGAGTTAATGTACTGCCCTACAATAAGTAATTAACGATACTTTTTTGTGTGGCATTGTGTTCTATGTACGTTAGTATAGTTTCATGACGAAGTGGCTTACAGAAGCGAACCCTAAATACTGTTAGGTGGCGTTCATGTCCTAGAATTTGAGAATGCGATGATTGTATTTTAGGAGACTTAGAGAAATATATCTGAATGACTCATCCTGGGTGTAGATCTTAGCACTATCTTGGTTCGGTTCAACAGCCTATATCTGTTATCGACAAGAGCTTAAGATCTGCCCTTATCTTTATCCACTACTTCAAAATGTGTTCTTCTCTGGGATGCCGCCGAAAGTTGGTGGAGTTGGTGCTTCGTGTTATCCTGGTATAGCTCTACTAGAGTGGTCTCAGGGTTCCCCCACAAGTTGAATGCGGTTAGGGCAGAAACCTTTTCCATACAATTTCATCTTCGAATTTCCGAATCCTAACGGATGTGGAGTTTGGTAGCTCCAAACTAGTAGAAAGGAGGTTATAATGCGCACAATGAACAAAGTCTCTTATCACTGCACTTCTTGTGTCCGAAAATGCTTAGTAAAGTATGTTAATTTTTAAAAAAAGCTTATGAAGGGTGCAATTTTCGCCGTACTTTTACTCAAAGATTCGTTAAATTATTTTTGGTACGCGTGTTGTATTACTGGTGAAGTTGTCCAAAGCTAAACAAATGGAACTATTAAGGCGTGAAGAGAAGCAAATAAAAGCCGAGGCTTTCTAATGGAACCAAAAGCGAAGACTCAGTGAAAATTCCGGATTGTTAAGGAACTGGCGTTGCTTGATCTTTTACGAATATCGCTTAGCACGACATTTATAACATTGTTCCAGCATTCCCAAGGTATTTGCGGAGTTCTTTCACTGCAGGACTTTTCACAACGACGTTAAGAAGTTCTAATTTTAGCTCGTTAATGGAACTTTCTTGGAGACTTTGTTAACTCACATTAGAAGTCATCTAAAAAAGTTGCTGTTGTCGTTAAAAACCTTAAAAAAAGCCAGCGTTTTTGTGAAGAAGTGATGATCGAAACTCAGGTCGAGTACAACTTTATCAATTAATTTAGAGACCATTGGAATCTACACAGTTCGCCGTTGATTTCCAAGTTTTTCCTGCAATATAGAATGGTAATATTCTGGAAGTATCGAATTCCTCGAAGGTGATTTCAGCATCGGATTGGCTGCTGAGGTTTTCAGTTGGAAATGCTTTAGTTCAAGTGGCTGGAAACATGGAAGGACTCAATAGGCGAGTCACAACGTTTGTCGTTGACTACTGATAGGCCTGCTCCACAAACTTGTGAAGGCTTGAACCGGTACGAAAGTGCATGAAACTTTCTGCTCACTGCAGCTTCGGAAGCTTTTTTGGGTTATACTTCTGGTCCGCAGAAACGCGCTAAAGTTTTAAACTCATTTAAACAAATGGTATAAATTTTTTATAGGTTTATAACGTTCTCAATTCCTTAAGTGCTTCAATCTTCGAAGAATTATCGGCGCTTATCGAAAAACTAGCGCGAGCGCGAAAATGTTAATTTAAAGGTCGTCCTTTCAGAATGATTGAAGAGGATTTGAAAGGCGCGACTGAAAAAACTAAGCAAACGAATAGGCCGTATTTTTCCCCCGAGAGAGTTCTTCTGAAATAAAAAGAATTTCTAAAAGTTTAAGAGGTGCTCCATTTCACCCGGCCTGCAGTCGATGGAGCTACCAAGATCGACATCGCGACGACGAACGGCTATGGACCATTGACTCGAATCATTCCGATTCTTATGAGAAAGAAGACTTCGGAACATTAGCCAAAAAAAATTTATTACCAATCTTAGATAAGATCAATAACTCCAGAAAAATATTAAAAATTCATGTTGGGGTTAAATGAGCGTCAGTGTTTAGAAACTTTACATCGCTGTGTGGCAGCTTATACAGCAGCGACTTTTGCAGTATGCAGTGCCATTGTGATAACAGATCATTAGCTATTGTTGGTTGGCAGTTAATAAACACCTGGGCTGCATAAACGAGCGCCACCGAGCGAGGATCCCTCATTTGAACGGTACGCTGCCCTATCGGATTCGACCCGATGCCAAAACGGAGTCGACGACCACCTGTGGACGATCGACTCGCATCAAACCGTCCCTGAAGATCAGAAAACTAAGCCGAATGAAAATGACTTATACCAACATCATGTTAGCTTGATAGTTTGTGAAAATATCAATTGTTTATCTTGGAAAAATCATTTTCAACCTGCAAAAAATCATTGAAAACTAAGTGCTGGAACAAATATTAGATGGAAGTTACCTGAGAAGGAAATGAACTTGAATATGTTTTGCGGCGCCAACAATGCAGCTAATAGAATTTCGATAGAAAATCTATTTGTGAAGTTTGTAACAACGAAGACGACCATTATTTTCGAGTCACTCAATGTTCAAAGAAGTGTTTATTTCCATTGTCTCACCATGCAGTCAAAGACATAGTGAAGCATCTCGTAGTTGTTCGAATACCTGAAACTTCATATAACCTAATGATTTAAATCGTCGCATGTAGTCCAGTGGTTAGATGTGCTCAGCAGTCCATGCCGAATCGACCGTTAGTTCGTTTCCGAGCCAGGTGAAACCATCCTTCCTTCTGGAGTTGGCAAAGTGGTGCCAAACTTTTCTGCAAGGGTGAAAACGTTGATGTAATGCTTTAGCGAATCGACTTTCACTTAACCTAGGTGTAAATGATCAGTGCATTTTTTTAGAGTGTTCAGCTTGAATGAGGTTGTTATGGAATGTTTATTCGGCTAACGTTTCGACGTCTTTTTCTTCTTCAGAGTCGGTGATTTGAGTCGATTGTCCTCGCGTATTGAGTCTTCGGAGTCGTATCGAATTGAATCTCTTTGAGGGAAGCACCCTTCGAATGAGTTAACTTCATGTCTATATAGGACGGTTGTTGACTTATTTTCGATGGTCAGAATTAGACCTCGAATAGCTAACTTGCACTCGACTCTGATCACTGGCTCTGAAGAAGACGGAGACGCCAAAAACGTTAGCGGAATAAAGATTGTGTAATAACCTTGTGTAACCTGAGCAACCTTAGCAAATTGACGTGATACATCGGCAAGTGACCGCAAGTCGTTGTATGACCTTCGTGCATTTAGTCAATTTGTTTACAATGCTACAGGTGAGAACAGATGATTAGATGCATGGCGCAAACCTTAGGGATTGATCGGTGCCCAACGTCTCATAACGTCAACGATCCTTCAATATTTACTTTTTATTTTCTACCTTCTATAATTTCTATGGCAGGGTATTAAGCGAAATGCAACCACAATATTGCTGAGATATTTGCAAAACTCCGGA